TCTCTTCTTTCTTTCCTTCCTCTCTCTCTCTCTCCCTTCATATATAAATCGTTTTTCTACATGATAAAAGAGTTTTTCACACGATCAAAAGTTTTTCTTTTTCTTTTTTTTTTTCTGATAAATGAGAAAAAAGAAAATCCATTAACAGCTGCAAATTCTGTCACCCTTTTCGTCCTTTCATCAACTGTCGTCAATCAACCAACATCTTCTTAACGGTCCGTCTATGATCATTTATTCTTCTCTTTCTTCCTTTTATCTCTCCCTCCTTTTTTTTATTAAAAAATTTTTTTTACTTTAGATGTTTCCCATTAGCCTAAAAATAACTTTAATGTAGTTTATTGACGCCAAAAGTTATGGCTTTTTCTTTTTTTGTTGGAAAAAAGAAAAAAATTGAAATGAAATGAATCAAACAAATATGGTTGGTTGTATAGAACTTTTCGTTTTTTTTATTTTTAGAATAAAATTAAAATTTGATTAAAAATGAATGAATAAAATTGGTGAAAATTAATAAATGAAATATAAATTAATAAATGAAACAAAGGAATTAACAATTAAATTTAATTGCAATACTCGTTTAAAAGCGAATTAAATGACGAAAAATATTGTTTTCTTTCTTCCTTTTTTCTCAAGAAGCTTTAATGAAGCATAAATGACAACTTTTCTCATCCTGAATTGGACTAGATTGGATATTAGATTGAAGAAAATTTGTCTTGACTAGAATCTATCTTGGTTATCTTAGCTAGAAGCTATCATCTCATTTATCTTGACTGGAAACTATCATCCTATTTATCTTGGCTAATTAACTACCATCCTATTTATTTATCTTGTTTAAATATGATTTCTGTATTCATTTTTTCAGTCAAAGATAATAATAACCAAATAACAAATATCTATTTTAAATGTGAAGTTTTTCTAATGAAAAGAAAAAGGGAAAAAAAATTGAAAGTTTTTAAGCAAATTTTTAGGCAAACTTAGTATTAAAAATAAAAAATAAAATCTTTACTGAAATATAAAAAAAAGAATCGATTTAAATTTAAAAATTGAAATAAATTAATTATTGCTTATTATTTGCTTAAATTAATTATTGCTCACAGATCGATTCATATATTTTCTCGGATATGCCTCGTTTGATTGAACTTGATCTTTCATTCAATACAATTGATCATTTGGCTGAAGATGCATTTTCAAAATGTCCTAAATTACGCCAACTCGATCTATCTGGCAATTATTTGACAAATTTCAATGGTGCACTTCAACAGTTACAAAATCTTAAACGTCTCAATTCAAGTTTTAATATGATCCAGTTACTTCAATGGGATGAATTCCCGATAACAATGACACATCTTGAAATGAGTAATAATCAAATTACTCTATTAAGTAATACTCGACGATCAAGAATACGTCATGTACAGGTAAATTATTCAGTTAATTAATAAATAAAAATAATTAAGAAATTTATGGGGAAGAGAGGAAAAAAAAAGCGTTTCATTTTTATGCATGTTATGAATTTTCAGAAGCTTAAATTTTATTGTAATTTAATAAAATTTCAATAACTTTTAATTATAGTTACAACGAAATCGTATTATGGCTTTAACGGATGAGCAAATTCCAAATACAGTGGAATATCTAAATTTAAGTGATAATTTAATCCATACAATTGGTAATGGTACTTTTCGAAATAAACAATTCCTAAGCAGTTTGGATTTACGAAAAAATCAATTATCCAGCTTAGAAATAGCAGCTTTTATGGTGGATACTTTAACAACCGGTCATCCGATAAGACTATCTGTAGCTGATAATCCATTAGATTGTAGCTGTGAAATGGATTGGATTCGCAACAATAAAGAAGTTTACCTTTAATTAATTTGATTATTTAATCTATCATTTGAAATTCACCCAAAATTTACTCACTTATCATATTTAACTTGGTTTTCGTGTAATGAATTATTGCCTTTTTTTTTTCAATTTGATTCCTTTAACAATTTTCTTTTTTCTATTATCATATTTTAAATATATTTAATTTATGTTAAAAAATGGAATGGAACAAATTTTGGAATTAAATATTTTCTAGGAAAAATCTCTTATCAATATCGTTGATGATAATCGCGCTGCTTGCTTACATCGAATTCATAATCGACGAATTTTATTATCGGAAGTTAACAAGGATGATTTACTATGCAACTATAAACAAGTAATCAGGATCATTACAAATTTTCAAGACTAAAAAATTATGATGAATTGAAAGAGAGAGAGAGAGAGGGAGAGAGGGAGAAAGAGAGAAGAAAGAAGGAGGGAATTGTGATAAATTCAGGCAATAACTAATTAAGTGAGTATTGAAATTTTCGAAATATGTGACTAAATTTAGGTTTGTGAGCCCAATTGCATTTGCTGTCAGTATGGTAATTGTGATTGCAAATCGAAATGTCCCGATGGTTGTCACTGTTATTATGATGTCACATATACCATAAATATTGTACGCTGTTTGGCACTGGAACCAGAGGATCGTAAAAACTTCTCACCAAAAGTAACTGTATCGTAATAATTTACTTCAATTAAAAGTGCTAAATTAAATTCACATATGATCATTTATATGAAATACTAAAATGTAAGGAATGTATCAATGATAATGATAGTGATATGTATCATAGATTATAAAATTTCATATTTCATAATCTGGTATTCAGGACATTTAATGAAGTAAAGTAATCAAGATCCACTTTAATTAAGGATTTAATTTTTAGGATATACCAATGTATGCTACACATATTTACCTGGAGCATATGGAGATTCCTGTTGTTCGAAGTCATGATTTTCTGGGACGTACACGTCTTCTTCATCTCCATCTTAATCACTCATCAATACGGGAAATACAACCTTTAGCATTCAATACATTACCTTCGTTACAGGTAGGTTTCCTATTATCTGATAGAAATTTCTTTAAATTTTCGAAAAAAAGAAAAACTCTTCCTAATTAATTTGAAAAAATTATTTTATATATGTGAACAAACACATTACTTAATAATGTAACTTATAATATAACTTAAATATAATGGAATAATTCTAAATCATTAAAATTTTAAATCCCGATAGAAATCTTCCACTTGAATTTTTATGTAACATTATTAATAACTATTGTTTTTATTTCATTAGCTAACTTTCAGCTATTGGATCTTTCCGGAAATTATCTGATGCGATTGACAGGTGATGAACTGTACCGAACGAACAAAATAACAACCTTATTGCTCCATAACAATCATTTAATGTCACTCGGTGATCGACTCAACGAAGTGATGCCACAACTAAAGACCATTACCTTGCATAATAATAAGCTACAGGTATCGTCAATTGCTTAGGATATAACGATAAATTAAGATTAAGAAAAAAAAACTTTTTTTTCCTTTGCTTCAACTTGCTATTGAAATTTTACGGCAATTTCTTGTAAATTTCATAAAATATACTTATCGGATACATAATGCGACAATCACAACAACAATATTAATAATTAATGAATTAATAGTAATAATAATAATTGTAATCATAAATCGTAAAAAATCATGGGAATATTTGCAGGATTTACCGTTATCCATTGAGCAATATGGAAAACAAATCACGGATATCACATTAGGGTCCAATTTATTCCGCTGTGATTGCTCACCACGTTTTCGTATACAATACTGGTTCTCATCTAATTTAGATATGATACATGATGTATCAGACATTTTTTGTGTTGAAAATATTAGTCATGCAGTTCGAGAGAATGATACGACAATTCTTAGTGCTTATCCTCCAAATTTCGGTGACGATATCTTCAAAATACCAATGACACAGTTTATCGCTACTGCTAATACGTTAGTGATATTTTTATTGCTAGCTGTCAGCTTGTTTTTTAAAATTTTTTTTTTTTATCATCAAGACTATAGGAAAGAGTTAAGTCAACCTGATAAAATAAAATGTAAGCCAAAGGTAATATGAATGATGAAGGCATTGCAATATTATTGCTATTATTATTTTATCATTTACTAGTATTATCATTATTTTATTTATCACTATATTATTATCATTAATTAATAATTTATTATTATTATTATTATTAATATTATTATTATTGTTATTATTATTATTTATTATCATTGTCATTTGTTATCATCATTATTGTCATTATCACTGCTATTCTTATTAATGTTATCACTGTTATCATCATTATTACGGCTATTACCAGTATCATTCTGTGTACATCAGTCGTTCAAAAACATGTAGCTTCGCTTTACATAGATATTACTAAAAAAAGACCTTGGTTATGGCATCTCATTCATGGTGACAAGGTCATATTATTTTTAGGACCATTTGTGCACCTACCGCAAGCGGCGTATTTGGTACCGAGGGGACTACAAATTCATTCCTCATTATTACGGCATTGCTTGCCGTAGCGTTAATAACGATTGGTTTGATATGCTTGGCTGTATTATTCCTTCGAAAGACAAAATCAGTGATAGTTCAACGAAGGTATAAGGTACCACCATCATTTACAGGTACACATACTACACCTGGTTCCAGTCCATTACCACTCATCCATTTCGATGCTTTCATTAGCTATTCGAAGAAGGATGAAAAACTTATCATCGATACCTTATACAGGTATGAAATTTTACGACTTTCGAAATTTCAAAAAATCTTCAAAAGTATTTCCAAATAATTAGTTTTTCATCTAGTTTCTAGATGATGAAAGCTTATCAAAAAAGAAAAAAAGCATTTCCAAATTTGACAACATAAAATTAAAAATAAATAAATAAAATCTTAATTGGAAAAAGTGAACAAAATTTCTGTGTGAATAAAAATATATTTCAATTAATATAAATTAAATTTTCCAACAATGTACAAATATAGTACAAATCTATAATTTATTAATCTTAAAAAACTTTGAAATAATTCACATTACATTATATCTCCAGGCAATTGGAATCTGAGGAATATATTTTATGTCTATTACATAGAGATAGTCCAAACTATAGTTCTCGAGTTCATACAATATCCGATGAACTTATCAATCAAATGGAATGTGCGCAATCTCTTATACTTGTTCTAACTCAACATTTCTTGAATAATGAATGGAAAACATTACAGGTATCTTATAATTTTTATAAACAAATTACGGTAATTCCAAATATTATCAACTTATCAATAAAAGTATTACAATAGAGATATGTTTCATCTTAGCATTAAATTATTATCAATATTAAATTATTATCAATTAAATTATTATCAATTATAGAAGTTAGAAGGTTCATTTAATGAATTTATGTTTGATAATACATTTTCATAATAATTTAACATAATAATAGCAAATACAGTACCATTATCCTGTAGCAGTAGGTAGCTCATAACAGATTTATTCCTAATTGTTATGATATATTGGTGATAAATTTTAAAAATTTTAAAGTAATCGATATTAATAATAATAATATTACTTGCTTTTCTTTATTTTTCAGATTAAAACATCTCATCAAATTTTCGCTAAAAATCGTCACAAAAAATTAATTGCATTACTCGGTGATGGTATTGAACCAAATCAGTTAGATGCTGAATTAGGTCAAATTTTACGCAAAAATACGTGTATTCGAATGAACGATCCGTTATTTTGGAATCTGCTACATTCAGCTTTACCTGTCCGGATAGCACCATCATCCTGTAGCGGTGGCTCATCACAAATTTATTCCGATTGTTACGGTAGTATTGTGCCTAGTGATATTGTTTAAATTGTTTTCCCTCGTAAAATGTCATTCGTATATTCATAATATGTCATGCACCTATTTTCTTATGTATTTTATTGAAAATATTTGACATTTTATGGTACTGCTTCATAGAAGCTATAAAATTTGTTCAAAAAAAAAAAAGGTTTTAGAAAGTTTATTTTTCCTCTATAAGTTCGAAAAAGAATTGATTTACTTTTTTTTTTTTTTTTTAAAAAAAAAGAGGAATAGAAACAGATGAAATTTTTCTTTAACAAATGTTTTGCTTCTGAATTCTAACTTACATAAGAATCCGAAAGCCTTAATTACGATGAGTCAACTATCTGGAAGTCAATAAAAGATAATGAACCATATTAGATTGGAAAAGTTAACGACAATAGAAGTCTTTTGATTCATTTCAAAGATTAAAAATAATATGATTTGACCTGAATCCAAACCAGTGCTTCCAGTAGTACCATTAACTTTATCAAACTGCTTTACGGATAACATTGCTCTTCAATTCACGGGTTATTTTGTAGATATTATTACACTATTATTGTTACTGAATGATAATATTGCTTTTTTCGATTTTAAATTAAGGTAAAATGCTTACAGATATAAAAATTCAGTTTTAGGAAGTTAACAGATGAATTTGTCCTCAATTTAATCTTTTTTGCAAAAGAAGTTGGGTTATTAATACAGAAATGTTCATTTAAAGAGGATAAAGAATTGACTGAAGTAAATTTCAATTTTTAACAAAATTGAAATTTAAACAAACATCAAAAAGCATTTCCCCTTCTTCTTACTATTTTATTTTATAAATATACTATGCGTGTGCTGTTCCTATTGTGCACTATTGCCCAGTGTTTTGCCTTTTCTCTGAATAAAATATTATTTGAAAAATGCAATGAAAGCTTATTAATTAATGAAACTAATGTATTTTTTGTTAAAAAAAAGATTAATCTCGAAATATCCTAATTTATGTTTGCCAGTTATACTATTAGGTTAAGAAAATTTGGTAGAAATTAACTTATATGTTGGAGTTATAAGTTCCAGAAAAAAAAAAAACTCGCAATATCTTATCAAATGTTTTAGAACTACAGAGAATATATATCAAGGTGAATTTCTCCACTCTATATTGTTGAAATTTACTTGGGTGCAAAATATTCCAACAATTTAGCAATAATTAGAAAATAGAAGTGAGAGAATATATAGTCCAAGAAGATCTAAATGAATAAAAGTATAAAAAATAAAAAATAATAAGAAATTAACAATACTGTATAATGCAATCGATATACTCTGGGAAATAAAGTTTCAACAGAACAAAAAAAAAAAAGTTGAAAGAGGAAAGAGCAAGCGATTAAATTTGGAAACAGCTTAATTGTTTTTCACAGATTTCAAAAACTTATCCATTTCCTTTCTCTCCATAATTACCATAAAACTCTACAAAGGTCATTTTAACTGACTTCTAATGCTCATTTTTCTTCTCTACCTCTTCTCGTCTCGCTTTCTATTAATTGGGGAAATATCGCCCATATGAACTGCTAACCTCAGTGACCTTCATGAAACTCCATTCAAATTCCATTAATGTATCAAATTTAACATTTTCATTTAACCTTTTAAACTTTTTGTTTATCATTCTATCGAAAAACAGAATGAAATAAATCATGCAATATAGCACTTACCATACATATTTGGTCCTTCTAGGCCATAATCAGCTTTTTGATTCCAATGTTTCAAAGAAATATCATCAATCGATGAGCCAACAAAATATTCCAAATTTGCAATGTGAAAATCCAATATTCTTTTATCCATCTCATTCATGTAAACGGTACTAAAAATGAAATAATGCTAAATCATATGAATTATTGATTCGTTTATATTTTCTTAAATTTTCATAATCTAAATTAAAATCAACATAATTTTTATTGCTTCTGTTAAAGAAATATTCTGATTTCTTTCTACGAAATTTTTATCAACATTTTATGAGGGAAAGAGAATGTCTTCCCTGTTTCTTACAGTTATAGTCAACTGATCTCAGATTTATTCAATATTATCTATGGTTAAATCTTTTGCATAATCTCTCAATTTACATAATCTCATTATTTCCATTAAATTTCAACATTTGATATTTTCTGTTTTCCTTTAACCAAAAAATGTTCGATTTGGAAGAAAAAAAAATCTATTTTTTTTGTCTTTTATTAATCTTTTATTGTTTTTCCTATCCAAAGAATGATCATTTCCTATTTCGCTGTAATTATCCAATGTATCTAATTAACATAAATGTATGCACACACATATGGTGACGTGTGATTATGTTTTGACGCAATTCTTGCTCTCCCTTTCTCTATTTTTTCTTCTGTCCCTCGTCAGAGGTACGGTATTTCATCAGCTATTGCCAATATTATGACCTTTTTTTATTGGCACTGAAAGAAGTAGAAATTCCCAGAGGGGGAGCTAAAGATGTAGAAAAAGAAAATGAGGCAAAACTGAACAAAAGGTTAATGAGAGGTCAAACATAAACGTAAGTTGTCATTGATGCAATCTGACACTATAATAATTGTAAACAAACAAACAGACGGACAAATAAACTCGGACAGAACAGGAGATTGTCAATGCTTAAAGAGGGGATAATCAAACACTGTCACATAATAATTTTCCCGGGATCTTCAGGATCTCGTTTCGCAAAGTGTAATTAATTACTTCTGAAACGAACGATAACGCAGTAGAGGTCGAGATTTAGCAAAAGTATATTCCACACCGAAACTTATATCTCTTCGTAGTGAGAAAATTATGTTCAGCATATGCTTTATGTAATTAATTATTTAGATTTGCAAGTTTTCTTGTTTTCCAGAATGCTAGTGGGATAATTAGGAAGGTACACTCTTGGTTATTCTCAATTTCACTTTTTAAAAACTAATTGTTGCATTAAATCTGGAACTCTCATTAGCTTTCAAAAAAGGAAGAAAAAAAAAGAATTAATGAGCATATAAATAGATATGCTATTAATAATGCCAACAACATTTCATTAAAAATGATATACTTTAAAAGAATTTATTCAACTTTATTTTATATTTCAATGTTTAGTACTAAACATTTTTACGATTTCTAAAAAATTATTTAGCGCAAATAAAGTATCCAATAGTGAAACCAATGTAAAAAGAATGGAAATAAAATTAATGAAAGGATAAATCCACTAGAGAAATTTAATCATAAATAACATACCTTGGTTCATTCCTAGATAGTTCAGCCAGTGCAACGTTAATTTCTCGCCTTTTTGATTCTAATGACTCAAAAGCCTAAAATTAGAGAAAAATCCATAATAAATAGGGGAGAATTTTAACATCCTTTTCAATTTCAACAATATCTCATGTAATTCATTAATACTAAATTCTTTGTAAAATATGTGAAGAATTCAATGTTTTATAAAAAAGATTGAACATACATATGCAAAGAAAAACAAACAAAAGTATTAACAAATCTATATAATGTAAGAAATAATTTATTTATCTAATGATCTATATTGTACGGCATATCAGATTCTATTCTTAACTATCAACTAATAATATCAGAATCAGTAATCGGTTTTTAATTTCAAATTCAAATCTCATACAACCTGAATAGCATCATCGATATCTTTGACGGCACATTTCAACATGATTTCATTTTCCATTTGTTCATCTTCGCTTAAATCAGTACGTCTTTCTTTTTCTTTCAAATCTTCATAAGCTGTACGTAATAGCATTATTTCATCCTTCTTGAGAACCATCTAAAAATACCTAATTGTTGGTCATTAAAAAGTTTATTGTCTGTTTATCATCAATTTTACTACCTCTCAAATAGTGTGTCTACTGTAACACCAACTAAACATTAGTTTTATGTAAATTTATCAAAATGGTCTCTAATGCCAATCACTAACCGCTTCATTTAATTATAAACCACAATAGGAACATTTCAATTTGTTTCACTGAAAATTTGGAAATATACTCAAAAATTATCGGCGTTTAAAATACACATAAAAAATGTACAAAGTACAGTGAACATACGCTTACCGTATCTTGAACGGCTTTCAGCTTATTCAACACATTTTCATACGAAGTAAAATAAGAAATACGTCTGGTTTGCAATCGATAATCTTGTTCTCTGAGAAAAGAAAAATAAAAAATATGTGTAATCCCTAGGTCAAATAATTTTCGAAGTAATGAAAAAATCAAATAATACCATCTCGTTTGAAGCAGTAAATCAAAATACAATGAAAAACTTTTTCTTTTTTAAAGAGTCATTTTGCAACATGACATTGCATTGCTGCATCAAATAAAAGCAACAAAACATTCATCTTGGAAAGATTTTGATAATAAATCTAAGTTTAGATAAACGTGTTGGAAAGTGCATAAAACAAAAGAAATTAACATTACGCATATTGCATACTATATAAAGTAACATTAAATTATACTGTAAATGATAATTAACGAAACTGATACTGAATACCGAAATACACAAGGTAGCTTGAAGAAAATATCACAGATCCTAAGCATTACCTGACTTTTACAGTTGATATGAACGATACATGAATCGAAAATGACACATGAATCGACCATGTCAAAAAAAACATGAGTGATGTTTGGAATACGTCTGCTACAAAATTAAAAGCTTCAAACTCACTTTAACATAATATTGAAAGTTTCGCCCAAACTTAATTTACGCCCATTGAGTTCCGTAATTCCTTTAGCATGTGCCATATACGTTGAAGCACAAATGATACTATTGAATGCACGCTCAACTAATCGTATTCGTCGTGGTTCAATCTTAAATGATATTTTCAAAATATACAAAAATGCCTAGACATATGAAAATTTATGATGTTCTGATACACCATATGGTCCTTGTAATGCACCATAATAATAGCCAATTGTTTGGGAAAAAGAAAAAGAAGAATTTAACCTTAACTTTAACTATTTTTTTTCAACTCTCATAAAAACAGAATGTATTCATTCAAAAAACGCTAAAACGGAAAAAGTGACGTACTGCTTTGCCAGTGGGATCATATACTGGACAATGATCAAGGCAAATAGGAAGACATCTAACTTCGAACTGTCTGCATAGTGTCATCAATGGATTTCCAACTAAAACTAACAAAGTTGGAAAAAAAGTTATATAACTTTAGAATTTGCTATAGTCTGCTTCAATAATTTGCATAGATCCCATTCCCAACACCCATCTCAGCATGAAAGAAGCGTAGCACTTATCAAATCAAGTCAAAAAAAAAGTAATAACTTCGAATTCACGCTGATGTCACTCAGTTAACAGTGAATGTAGACTGAAAATTGTAGGTTAAATATGGACTGAATGTATATTGAACGTAATGGTTTCATGTTAATACTACAAAGCTCTCTTCGATGATTAAAGTACATATCAAATGGAAATAAAAAAAAACGATTTTCCTGGACCCGATGGGAAAAGCTATCGATATACGAATCAAGAGTTTTCAAACAATTCGTTTTTTCCCACAATTTTCAGGATTTCACTAGAGTTTGTTTTTCATCAAGCATTAGGAAGCAATCATTACTTGTTAAGTCAAAAAAAAAAGAAATCTTTTCGAAAAATATTGACGGAATTCATTTGTCGTCAAGGTTCTAAGGTATTGACCAAATAATTGAACTCAACCCAAACATTTTATAACATGTCACTACCGATGTTATTTTCTTAGCAGGATATATTATAAAGAAGATTCATTTCTTACGATGGTCCAGTAGCTACGGATGTTATACCATTTTTTTTTAAATGAATTATAAAGCACATACATGTTCCATAAATAAAGGATGCGCCTAATTCTGCGACAAGATGATCTCGGTCATTTTTTGCCATACTTGTAGTGCCAGTAATTGGTTTAATATATGTTGATATACGACCACCAATACGAGACTGAACAAGATTTATTTTTTACAGCAATTTTAAGACATCAATATTTCTATGGACTACTGAGTTGGAACCGGATTAAGATAGGATGAAAAAATTAGGATAATCCCAATATTTCAATTTTTTCTAATGCGAGAAATATTTATTATTTCAAGTGCAATAAAAGATAAGAGAGACACTTCTAGCTAAATTTTCGGAAATCCAATTCAACAAATTCTCGCACAGAACAAAATACTAATTTTAACTTGGAACAACATTACGCCAACATTTAAAAAATTGTTTCAAATATCGGGAATGCAAAAATTTCGGGAATTTTTCAATGGTGTAATTCTGAGAAGTAAAAATATTGTATTACTCTTGAATAAATCACTTACCCTAGCTTCTAAAAGGACTACATCTAAACCAAAGGATTTGAGCTGTCGTGCCGCAATGATACCAGCTATACCAGCACCAATCACTATTACCCGTCTTGGTAAAGTTTTTGGTGGAGCTGAAATAAAAAAGTGAAATATTTGAAATTAATATCGTTAATAAGAATAAGAAGTTGCAATCATTTTGGAAAATTAACATTGCTTTTCGATACGATTAATAAGGATTACAAAATCCTTTAGTAACGAATATCATAAAATATAGTAGATTTATGAGGTTTGGTGACACTGCAATAGCACTTGCATCATTTTTCACTAAATGCATAACTGGATACCAAGTTGATAGCAACAAAGCAAGCTGCTCAAGTTTATATAATCAAAATGTCCCAACATTTTGGCTTAGATATCTTTCAGAACTGTATTAAAAATTTTGAAATCTGTCAACTTAAGCGAACGTACCAGATAAGCGATTGAAGATACCCACATTTATGTAACCAAAACGTTGAAGAAATTCATAAATGCGACGAATGAATAATGGATCACCTGAAAAAATTTACATCCTCAATTTAAGAAGAGAACAAGATTCTACGAACGTTTTGCCTTATTAGAGAGATGAATTAATTATGCGTTACTTGTTGGGCCAAACATAAATTTCTGCAAAAAATCTGCAAGTACTAAACTGTGCAATAAAACAGCTCTTTGGAAAAAGATTTGGAAAGATCTGGAAAGCTAAAATGTTTGTCAATATAAAGATGATGAAAACTTACTATCATATGGTGAGGATAATTCACTCATAAAATCGCGAAGTAAAAGTTCTGTTCGTGGATTTCGATGCCACATTTGTAGCTGAAGTAAATATTTACCGAAAAAATTATTTTGTCTCGAGCAAATATGAACAAAATGTTAGAAATTCGCAAAAATTAAAAAAGATTTTGAAATAGTATGCCGTAAGATGAATGAAACAAAGAATTACCAATTTATTTCTCAAATACAGATATAAAGCAGTACTTCCACGATTATTTTTTAATTCCGGAAAAGCATTCATTTCTTGTGCTGTTAGTCGATTGGATAACAGACAAGATTTATTGGCAGCCAAACGTAGAGCTATAAAAAAAAGCTGTTTACAAAATGACGGAATAAATTAAATAAAATTGAATTTCCAACAAAAAAAAAGAAGAAAAGCGGATGGGATATTCAAATAATGTAACTCTTGAAGTGTTCACAGTCCTAAATTTAGAAAATTCCAGAATTGCAGGTTTCTCGAACTATTTAGAACTTTAACCATTTCTAATTATTCTCCTGTTAAACTTTTGACGATTAATATAACAGGGATATGACCATGACCATATAATACAACTATCTTACGATATAATATAATGATGATCATTACCGATATCATCGTCTTCCCATTGCAATATATCGATATTATCATAACTTGTTTCAAAATCCCTCGTTTCATGCTGGATTAAGTTTGTCGAATGACTTCGCAAGTTACGTCGCATCTCACCTAAACTGGACGGCTCATCGGTCATCTTTGCACCTGCAGACGATCAATGTAAACAATCCATAATAGGCTACCTGATGCAGCAACCCAAATAGGTGCTTGAATGGAGGGTTTGTCAACAAAAGCCGATTAATTCCTTGCACTATGTTTTCGATTAATTCTACTAATCAAATACGCTGGCAAATAAATGATTATCAACAAGTTGTTAAAATTTATACCTCACCCTCTTCTCTTAATTAATAGTAAAAGATACTGCAATCAATAAGTATTCTGACAGATATTAGTATTAATTTATTAACTGCTTTCGGAATGTGCATATATATATATATATATATATATATATATATATATATATATATATATATAT